TTATATTTGGTTTTGAACACCCATGCATTTCGTAATGCAACTTTATCCTGTGGCAAATCGACTAGAGTCCAAGTCTGATTTTCGTGTAATGAATTAATTTCGTCGTTCATAGCATTATTCCATTCATTTTTGTTTGACCCAGTAATTGCCTCATCATAATTCAATGGACTGACACAGTTAGCAATAAAAGTCTGAACATTATACCTGTCCGGCTTCTTAAGTGTATTCCTGTCACGTAGAACCATAACATTTCTATCATCGACTATGTTTTCGTCCTTCTCACGCACGCCCGTTGAATTAATTTGAGTGTCTGTAAACTCTAATGTGTCTGCAATTACATTTTCATAATTATTACATTCGTCTTCGAATATAATGTCTCTGCACACGGATATTTTATTTGTTTTCGAATACCATACACGATAACCTTTCGTGCTGTTCGAATATCCAACAAATATTCCTTTTTCACTTTTTGGATCCCATTTCTGACGTTTTTGCTTTGGTATGTGTGTATATACCGCAGTACCAAAAACTCGTAAATGTTTAATATCTGGCACGACTTTATAATATAACTCGTAAGGTGGCTTACCAATCTGTGAACTCGTTCCGGTTAGATTAAGTGTATAAACCGCTGTGTTCACAGCTTCTGCCCATTATGACACGTCAAGATTTTTTGCACATATCATTGTCCTGGCAGCTTCTACGATTGTTCTGTTATCACGCTCGACTTTCCCGTTCTGTTCCGGCGTATATGCTACCGTAGTTTGGTGTCGTATGCCATATTTCTGTAGAATACCTGTAATGTCCTTGTTTACAAATTCTAACCCATTATCTGTCCTTAATATTTTGACTTTAGATCCTGTTTCTGTTTTAACACTTTTTATAAATGTTTCCATAATATTTTTTACTTCATATTTATTCTTAATAAAATATACCGTTCTGTAATGTGAGTAGTCATCTCTAAATAATAAAAAATATTTTGACATACCGATAGAGTCCCTCTGCATCGGTCCACATAAATCTGCATGTATTAAATCGCCGACGTTAAAATATTCGGTCTCACTTTTACTGAACGATTGACGGTGTTGTTTCCCGATTATGCAGTCGCTGCATACAAATTGATCGTCCTTGGCTGAATAATCAATATTATGTTTTGCCAAACAATTCCTCACGTATTGAATATTCTGGTGAGCTAAGCGCTTATGCCATACTTCTAATCGTTTTTCTACTGCAATGTTCGCATAACATTCAGCTTTCGATGGTGCTTCGACTTTGATCTGTAATTCAAACAACCTACCGCATCTTGTGCCTATGCATACAGGAATCCCGTTTCTTTTGAACACACACGTTTTATTGTCTGACGTTAGTTCTAAACCTTTGTCTAACGCTGACCCGCACGAGAATAAATTAAATTTTAATCCCGGCACGTGCAATACATTTGCCAAGTAATTTTTATTCCAATTACCGTTCACGTATGATAATATATTAATATTACCTTTTCCTGTTGCATATAGATTTGTTCCGTCACCTATTGTCACCTGTTGTGTATATTTCAATGGTTCATAACTTGTAAACCATTCTAGGTTCGCGCTCATATGATCCGACGCGCCTGAGTCTAAAACCCACGTATCTGTTGTAGTTTCATTTATCCTTGACTCGCTTACAAATGCATTTAAATTTGTACCTGTAGTACCGGTTTTCCCACCTTTCATACTACTTAGAAAATTCTTACAGTTTCTTTTATAATGACCAATTTTACCACACTAATAACATTTAACATTACTTTTATTAGTAAATTGTTTTTTACCTTTACCATAACTGCCGTTTTTTCCATCGGATCTGTTTTGAAATTTGGCTGGAAATGCACTCGATTTCTCTTGTTCACCAACTTCACCTTTGATCTGGATAACCCGTGATTCTTCAATCAACAACCGACTAGTTAAATTATTTATATTTTTACTTCCCGTTGGGACTGAATCCCAAGCACTGTAAAAATGATTATATTCTTTTGGTAAAGTCATTAGTATTTTTGTCATAACCATGTTATCCGTAACTGGTTCACCCGCTACTCTCAGTTTCCTTCCTAAATTGACCAATTTAGAAATATGCGTCGACATGTCATCTGTCGACTCCTTTGAATAACTGAAAAATTGTTGTTGAAGCAAATGTATACTTGCCTCAGACTTCTGCTTGTAAATAATCAGCAGTTTCTCCCACATTTCCAATGCAGTCTCACAGTTAATCAAATATTGTAATGGACCATCGTCCACTGAGGTAACTATTATTTTCTGACATTTACCGTCCGCTTTTTGCCAAGCGTTTGTATGCCTTTGCCAACGTGCTTTGGCATCCTCGTCGGTCTCTCCTGCCGACTTTTTTATAGGTAGACTTGGTTTCGTCCATTCACCTGAAACTATCTCGCCTACTTCCAAGGCATTTAGAATGACCTTCATCTGGAATTTCCATAACGACCAGTTTTCCGCACATAATTATGTTATCTTCACCGTGTCTTCCATGACCGATGATTTCCCGTATACTTGACCTGTATAACAATTTATAACAAAACTTTACCTATGTACACTGTTCCGCCGTTTTCCGAAATCCAGGATATCTCCGACTGGTTGTAGTTTTCTGCGTTAATACAAATATAAAAATACTTCGATCACGAATCCACTAGACTGTTTGTCTTGGTTATTGACTGGGCCCATAACCTGTTGAAAGTGAAGCTTGACGGACTAATGATGTTAGCATTAATATAATAAGTAATAACACGACAATATGATTATGTATAAGTATAATATATAATAACGTACAACTGGACAATTAACCTGTGACTATACACACACACCGCGTACACTCGGTATGACAGCGTCTGTGCAAGTGATTATTACATACATCAAAGGCCCTATTTATATGAACAATCGAGGCCATCCCGTATCCGTATATAATATAGAAAGCGATAGTAAAGGTGTTACACAGCTATATCGTAACTGCATAAGTATCTATTAGAAAACGACATTGTACACGCACGTGTGTTTACATGGTTTGAATACTAATATTAATTGTATATTTCAACATTTTTTTACCAATCATTAATGATAGATACTAACGAAGTCTGGATATTTAGATTTTAAATCACTAGATCGTACTTGTTAAATTAGATTCAGTGTTATTTTCGTCGACACGAAAACTTGGACTAATAGACATTAGTGGTACCTAACCAATATACTGGTAACTATTTTTAGCTCATCAATATGGCTATTTCTCGGATACCGACACCGAGCTGATAACGACGGTGGACGATAAACAAATAATACCTACTTTGATAGTTAGATTCAAGCAACTAACATACAGTAGGTAACGTTTTAATATTATTGTAGGGTTTGTGTACAACCCCTGATTTTTACATATTAAATGTAAGTAGTATTTTATATAACTATCTCAGTTATAGGCATAAACATTATAGTATTATACACATACGCAATGGCACATCGTCATTACATTATTTTCAGTGAATTCAGTATCCCCTAAATATTTACCCAAGAAGTGTCACTGACTAAACAATAAACATTGGTATTTGATTATACAATTTAAATTAAAAATCAATTATTCAGGTATATTCTACATTGTAGGTAGGTATGTCGTTTTCCTCCAAATCAGTTCAAAATAGTTTTTATTAAAATTTGCTGTTGAAGATAGAAAATTGATAAATTGATATTTATGTGCAACAAAAATGATGCTCTAAAAAATACTCCAAAAATTGCTTTACAAAATAATGTATCAAATAATGAAGTTCTTAACAAACAGATTTTCGGCGATGCAGATGACCCTGTAAATAAGATACCCTTTTTGAGATTAGAAAAAAAGCGGCATTATTATCAGCATTAGCAACATCATATCACGAAAAATATCACATTCCGTTCAGAATAAACTTGTTTCAATAATGGCTGACGGAACAAGTGATTGACACCATGAACAAATGGCAATTGTTTTGAGATTTTTTGATGATAAGCTTAATTCTCATACATCTGTAGACGCCCAAGCTATTTTCAATGAGTTAAAAGTTGTTCTCTCCGTATTGAAGTTAGGTTGGAAGAATGTGTTATCCGTTTGCTATGATGGAGCGGCAGCCATGTCAGGAAGTGTATCAAGAGTTCAGATGAGGTGTAAAGAATTAAACAGCAATATTGTTTATAAGCATTGTTACGCACATTGTTTGAACCTATTTTAGTCGATGTTTGTACACTAGACAAAGCAAATAGATTTTTTTTTTTGAGATAAAGGCTTCAACAACGGCTTTTACCGTTTATCGTTTGCTACATTATTTTTTTCGGTCAAAATAGAACCTAGATATTTGAACTGTTCTACCCTTTTAAATTCATAGTGATCTATTCTTATGGACTGACAAAAAGGTAGTTCCCTTCTACTCAAAAACATTTAATCCGTTTTTCCTTCATTTACACATAGTTCTACTTTTGATGCTGCTTTATGTAACCTACTGAATAAACTCTTCAACCTATCTTGAGACTCTTCCATCAATACTATATCATCAGCATAAGCAAGTATGCCTATCGACGTGTCTTGTAGCCTAATACCCTCGTTAGGCCCAATTTTCATTTCTCTAATTACCTTTTCCAATACCACGTTGAACAGAATCGGCGATAGCGAATCACCTTGTCTTAGCCCCGAGTTCACTGTAGCTGGTTCAGTTATTGAATTTCCTACCTGAACCCTTATCAAGGTCTCCATAACACTGATTGATACTAAATTGACCAGCTTTTGTGGAAAATGAAATTCTTTCATAATATTCAGTAGACTCTCTCTATGAATACTATCATACGCTTTCTTGAAGTCCACGAAAAGTGTATGAATCTCTTTATCAAACTCCCAAGATTTTTGATAAAACTGTCTAATTATGAACATCTGGTCCGTCGTGGATCTGTCAGCTCTAAACCCTCCTTGATAGTGTCCTATTATGTGATCCGCTTTTTCTTTTATTCTGTCTAAAACACAATTCGAGAATATTTTATTAATCCTCCCTTTTTTAAGAGTTCCGCTTGAACACAATCCTCCCCTGGTGATTTGTGATTTTTTAATCTATGTACTTGTCCTTTTATTTCCTCCAATGTAGGATATGTACATTCTTGTGTATTTATGTTCTCAATATTAAAGTTGAACTTTTCGGTTGGTTCTTCACAGTTTAATAGTTTGTCAAAATACTTTCTCCATTGTTCAGCTATTTCTTTTTCTGCAGTTATCAACATTCCATCATCATCCTTCAAAAAACGTTCTTTCTTTTTAAAATCTCCTTTTATGTCCTTTACTCTCTTATACATATCCCGGGTTCTATTCAGCCTAAAGTCCTGTTCTGCATCTTTCATAATGTTGGACTCATCAAATAACAATTCTTATGATAAAAGTAAGTAAATGTTTATGTACGGTAAAACTTAACTAATGACTAATATTGTTAAATTACCATGTTTGTCATTTGCTGCTGTTGTAAGTTGAAGCTTAGATGGACCAATAACTTAGTATTAATATAAATAAATAACACGACAATTTGATTATGTATAAGTATAAGTATAATATATAAGTAACGTACAACTTGAACAATTATTTGTGACTATCAGGCACGGCGCCAAGGGGGGGCAAGGTGGGGCTCTAGCCCCCCCAGAAAACAGATCAGCCCCCTCGCCAGCCCCCCCCCACTGAAAAATATGTACGATATAATTAATGTTTGTTGTATACAGTTAAAAATATTTCTAGTTGACTTATTATTTTAAATATGTTTATGTTTGATTAACACAATACTATTGTGTAAGGAGTTGGTATTCGTACCTACCTACTTACCTATATTAGTTTGGTAATTAGCATGACAAATTTCTTATTTAAAATAATTATATAATTTATTCAATTTTCTTATTTTGTTATTTTTATAATCTTATTTGTCATGGTAATTAGTTCACATATTACTTGATAATTAATAAAAAAGGATTTCTTAAAGTATCTATGTTTTAATGTATATATATGAACTATTTTAACCTCCAAAATTTAACAAAAAATATAAAGTAGGTACTTCAATAGTCAATACATACACTACTATGCAAATACCAATTTAAAAATGTATTGAATTAAAAATTTAAAATGTACTAGTTAAATATAAGGTAGGTACCTAATCAAAAGTTTTTATTTAAAACAAATTGTATTCCTACTGATATCAGTGCAATTGTATACATTTTTGTTAACTTTTTCAATATTATAAGATTTTCAATCATTTACTGTATGGTGCATAAACAGATATTATATAAAAAATCAATATTTAGCTCATAAAGAAATTATTATTTTTGTATATCATGTTATCATTATGAATATAGCTGTTGAAGGTCTTAGGTCTGTGATTAAACATTTTCTTACATATTACATAAGGTACAAAAAAATATTTGATATTATTCTTAAAACATTTTTAACTATTCAAAAGTTTGTAAATATTATATGTTTAGACGTTTAGAGCATACAATATAAAAGTATGTACTATATAGCTAATAGCTATATTATGTTATATGATACGAAAATATTTATATTTCATTTAAATAACCTCAGTATTTGTTGAAACAATTTTAGCCCATGTAAAAAAAATATTTGCCCCACTCTGCCCCCCCTGGAAAAAAATTCTAGTGCCGTGCCTGGTGACTATACACACCGTATGACGGAGTCCGTGCAAGTGGTTTTTACATACATTGAAAGTCCCTATATAATGTATTATTGAGGTCTATATCTGTATAACATCTGTGACTTTCGGATACCTATAGCCAACACCTACATTTTGTAGATGAATGTTATTCAGCTATGACTTTTTTATTTGTATTCTCTTAAATATTAATATTTGGGTATTGCTTCAATAATATTATAATATTTAAGAAATATTTAAAAAATGTATTATTGTAATATTAATATGGAGGATTGGAGTTAAACTCTCAAAAACATGTAAAGCTCCCTTATAAACTTTAGGTAAATTTTTCTGAAACATGAAAATACATATTGAAAATTGCCTTTACACTTAAATTTATTAATATATTTTATATTTTATAAATTATTACATTATGTAGGTTCTTGTATATGATTTTTTTGATTATAAATAGGAAAAAAAATTACATTTACTTAAATGTGAGTTAAACAATAAATATAATTTGAATTGTTTTGTTTAGATGACAAAGTATTATCTACACAGAATCAGAATGCTACAGTATTGTGGACTGATGGAATAACCAGATTTATGCTTGAAAGGTATGCCAAGTGGATGAATTTTATTGGGCCAATGAAAAAGTTCAAAAAAAAAAATTGATATGTGGAAGCAAATAGCAACAAACAACGACAATGAACTTGGAGTAAAATTTTCATTTATCCAAGTTGAAAATCGCTACAAAACCATTTGTAAAAGAAAGAAATTAGTAATAAACAATAATAGGCAAACTGGCGCATCTCGTATGGATGATACATTTGAAAGTGAATGGAATCAAATTACTAATAATGACGATAGCATTCTACCGGAAATTTTACGTAATACTACAAATGTTGTGATAAATAAAAAAGATTTTGAAAACAAGCCTAAAAAAATGAAAAAAGAATTATTATTAGCATTTTTAAAAGCAAAAGAAATTCAAAAAGAAAGAAGACACCAGGAAAAAATGGAATTAATTTAAAAAATTTTTGAAACATAGTCAATATTTTATACATTATAAAAATTATTTGTTGTATTATAAGCACAAAACAGTATTAATTATATTTTTCATGGTTTTTAGTTATTAAATGTATTTATATGAGTTAATTTTTTTGTTATGATCTGCATTAGTTTTTATTTTATGTTAAAGAATAAATACCTACATAAATGTTACATTACAAATAGGGAATTTTATTATGTTTTATATTAAATTTGTTATTAAAAAATAAGTTTATTTTTTTGTTACATTGTGTTTCATTATACTTTTTGTTAAATTTGTTAGTAATAAATTTTAATAACAAGCAAAGTTATTTACAAAGATATAATATAGGAAATAGAATTTGTTTTGTTATACATTTTTAGTTTAAAACATCTATTTGTTGCATAGGTAATTAAAGTTTTTATTAGTTAAATATTTTACAATGCATAAATAAAATATGTAATTTCACATAAATTGTAAACCATTTTGTATTGCTTCACGCTTTCTTTCACCATTTCTTTTGAGTATCATTTCTGAATCCATTATATTATCTGGTTCTTCGACTACACTCAAATCATCTTCATCGACATCTTCAGGTATAATGTGGTCATTTATATCAATGCATAAATTGTGTAATACACATGATGATTCGATAAACTTTGTTATTTTATCTACAGAATGAATGTCTAATTGCAGCAACTGTCTAAATCTAGATTTTAGGAGTCCAAATGAATTCTCAATCAACACTAGCTGCACAAAATCTTTTATTAAAGTATCTCTGGGTTTCCGTTAACCTTCCGTAATCTTTGTATGGAATAAGCAACCACTCTCGTAAACTGTATGCACCATCACAAATTAAATTAAATTTTTTATTACATTTAATTGGACCGTTTTGCTCAAATCTGATAATGCAAACACTCTAGAATCATGTATTTTACCAGGGGCACCTGTTAATACACCAACAAATCTCTTTTTGTAGTCACATACACCTTGAAGAGTAATTGAAGGTATGTCATGCCTATTTGTATAGGTACTTTTTATTTTATGAGCAGCAGTTCGGATTGGAATTGAAGTTCCATCAATACATCCAATAACACCTGGTATTCCTGATATCTACAATAAAATAGATATATTTATTAACTAATCGTACAAAATTTCAATGCAATTAAAAGCATTAAAAATATAATGACTTTGTTGTAGTGATCTCTCACCACTATAGGGAGCAGATTTTATTGTAAATACATATTATTATTGGAATAAGATATTTTAAATCTGATAAAAAATGTGTAAAGTTTAGATTATTCTAAGCTAATTAATTATAGTTAAAGAATTATTTGCATATGTATCTAGGAAAAATCATGCACTAAAACATTTAGAAATAGGTATTTAGAGATACATATAGGACTGTCGATGTAGATCGTTTGTTCAGTGAGAACAAATCAGTATGAATAATATATGAAAATCATAAAATAAATTTATCAAATTAACAAACCTTTTGAAATTCATGAGCTAATTTCTCAAATCCTTCATTGAAATGTATGTATGTTGAACAAATATCAATCAAAAAATCCATAACTCTGTTATTAATACGGTACTGGGTAGTGAGTCCTACTCCAAAACGTTCCGATACATCACGTAGACAACATTTGTTTGCAGAAACCTATACATTGTACACCATTTTTTTACGATACAAAAACATAAAATAGGTATTGTGTAGGTAGTAATATACCATAAATATGATAAAATATGAGTCTCTGGAGAACAAACTGTAATTGTGTAAGGAATCTCTTTAGGAAAAAATTTGGATTCTTCAAATTTGTCTATGATAATATGGGCAGTAGTTCGTTCCATACGAAAATGATTTTTAAACTAGAAGCATAAAAAACAATGTAGGTTAACACTATAATACTACGTAAATTATTAATACATATATTATTTTTAAATGTTGATCGGAATAATTGTGCACAACATCTATTACCTATATAATTGGATATTTTAAGTTTAATATTTTTTAGAGTTGTATTAAAAATGAATTCGATAACATCCTCATCTTCGTCATCACTACTTGATAAAAAATATAAAATTGCGGCTTTCTTTGGCTCATTCATATTCATATTAATATTTTAATTACAAATTCCCTAGTATATATGTACGAACACATACGTTAATTTAACTATATACTATATTAAAATAATGAATAGAATATTATATAATATATTAGGAAAATAGGTTTCAATTTCAAATATCAATGTTTATTGTTTATTTGTTTATCAGAATCAGAAAATTTATAAAGTTAAAAGATGTATAATCAATAAAAGATAAGGTGCACCGTCATGAAGAGCCCGTGCGATTATCACTGCACTGAGGGCGAGAAACTGGCCGAGTGCACGTATATGGAACATAAAAATCCGCACTAGTTGTGCACTGATATTTCATATAAAACATAAAATAATTGCACCAGTGCAATAGTGCAGTCATGGGGAAAACTCTATAAGATATACAGGACTGGCGACGATTACGATAACGTGGTCAGAAAAAGGTATAATGGTGGCAGGTGTACGGAGGGATCTTCCTTTTTGAGCCTCAGCACTACCTGGTGGCAATAAATAACATTGCTATTTTCAACAAATCCATGACAAACCAATAATTAATAATTGTTCTGTTAACTACCTTTACCACCTCAATGGCAAAATATTAACTATTTATTATATTACATTAATATGATGCATATTACAGTTATAGTTAACGATGTATAAAAAGTAACGGCTTAATGAATAACGAGTCAACAGTTAAAACTAATTTTAGTAAAATGGTATTTATTATTCAAAAGTATAAAATTGGTAGAGTCAATATATTTATAACATGGATGTAGAAGATACACACAATATTATTAGAATATTATAATATTATAAATGTTAATGGAAATAAAATATATTTTAAAAAAAAACGACTGGTTGCTTTATTGTCCGCTAGATGTCAGCATAGTCCAAAGTGGGCCCACAAGCGTGACACTAGTTTTCTGTAGGCTTGTACAGTAAAGAGCATCCGTGACCAGTCCTGTATATAAAACAAGCGTCTAGTGACAGGGAATCCGAATGGCTGCAAGATGGCCGACTTAGTTATCATTATCAGTTATCACAGATTTTATTATCACTTAATTCTCAAAATAATATATTTCTTTCCTTTACCTTATTTCTACCCAAGTTGTATTCTAACTGAATTGTCTTTTAAGTTTATTATATTATAGTGACAGTAAAGTATCTAATTACTTTATTTTATTTTAAATATTGAACAGGTAAAATGAACTCAGTACATCAAATACTTCTGAAAATAATCGTGTTAGGCTTTTTTACTAATTTTTAAAAAACTTGTCTGTTTAATTAAATGTATAATACTTTGAAAGTTTACACCACTACTTGAGTTTAAATGTTTTCTTGATGTACTAACCTGGAATATTGTTTTAATTGTATTTTGTTTTTTTTTTTTATGGTTTTCGTTAATTATGATATGGAGGCCTATGAATGTCACTCTCAGGATATATGGATTTTTCTATGTTTGCGGATGAATGAGGATTTATGGTGTGCAATTCGGATCACGCCCATGTTTCTTCAGGAGTTCCAGAGCAGTTTTGTTCTAGCGAAATTTACTTTCCCGAACAATTTTGAACTAAAAGTCAAACTACTTAAATTAAAATGTCATCTCAGTCAGTTGCTGCTCCTACTACAGTTGCATCGCTTACTAAGAAACTCGAAGAATCCACCAGTCTTCCAAGTCATTCAGATAATCCTTCTCCACCGAAGAAGATGAAAACCCAGTCCAAACCGAAATTGACGACGTCAATCCAGTTTGATATCACTAATAAAAGTGCTCTATCGGATTTGTCAAAAAGATACAATCCTCCGCAGCCGCCACCCGGTGAATCAACTGCTCCGACGAAAAAGTCAACGTATTTCGAAAAGCTCGACGTGGCCACACGCCTCGAACTTGACCATGGCACCCAACACATCATAGATGTGCAGCCTGACCTTAGGTTTCCACTTCAGTACTTTATGTACAATGTTGCTGAAGAATATCCTGACCTTACAACTAAGGCGCATCCCTACGTAAGTATTTTCACCCTTATCGCCTACCAACAACTAATGCTTAATGCTTACTTGCTTGTCTGTGATCTACACGCACGTGAAACTGCTTCCTACTTTGCACAAAGTTATAAGAACGACGCTCTTAAATCAGACTTTCTGTCTAGATTACTAAGTTGCTACATTCCACCAGACTTAGAATTACTGATAAATAACCTTGCTCCCACCTACGATCCACAACGTAGATTACAAGTGTATGTTCCATCCCTCGCAGCCTATGACTTTTTAACCGACTACGGAAGATCCGTTCCACCATCAATGTTCATCCTCGCTCATCATCTCCTTGCATCATCAAGAACCAATGCTGAACCTGAAACCATCCTTAGAACATTTTATGCCACCACAATCCTAGAAATTGGAAACACGACTTACACTCCATCCAACTTCCTCGGCGGATATTTCGATCGCTTGCAACGCCCTACCAACCATTCAAACTGGTTAAACTCAAGATTTGAAAAGATTTTTAATCCTGTTATTGGCAGAGCTCTTGTCCAAAGGCCTACTTTGGCAAAGACCCGCATGCATGTTCAGCACTATCCAGCTGCTGATCAAGTCAACCCTTACGATTTATTATTATGCTATTCAGAAACTAATCTCGAGAAAATTCTCGAAGTAAGATGTGTCCAGCTTTCTAAAGTCAGAAGCTAAAGCTACAAAAGTTCTTAGCCAGACCCTCGAAAACTCCACAGGTATCAACATCATGTACCATTCCATCTGGAGTCTTACTCTACCAACGTACCACACGCTATCTCCACCAACCATCACATCCAACCAAGAAACTGATGAATTAACAGACTCAGCATACGCACGATACATTAAGTTCCTCATTCCACCAGCAATTTATAAATCCAAACTACCACCACCATCAAAAGACATAGAAGCCAACCTTTTTCTTGTCGGAAAAGACCCATACAATCCAGTCAATCCGCCATTTGACCATGAAATATTTGATAAGCATAGACACGTCTATCCTGACGTCCTCTGGTTCCAGCCATACGCTAAGAATCCCAGTGCTATAAACTTTTCACTAACTTTAGGCCTTCTAATCGAATCAGGTGATGTCGACGCCGTCGTTATCCCAATTCCTAATATATGGATCAGTCTAACTGAAAATAATTCAATGTACCTTCAGGGATCAATCCCAATTGAATACATTAATAAATTCAGTCCTTCACACGAAGAGAACAACAGACTTAGACATATACTAGAGTCCTAAACGCAGATGAAGACCAGCCGATTGGAGTATCCTTTCGCGACTGCAGTACAGTTATGATTCCAAGATTTGGAAACGAAGCTGTCAGATCAAACATCAACCAACTCTACGGAGTTCATGTTGCAGAAAACTGTAATAATCCAGAAACAGATTTTACATATTCAGCATGGCGCGCATCAGACGCAGCGAACCTACCACATGGCTACACACACCTATGGTCGTCCTACCGTCACGTAACACAATCAAACACCAGAAATAGGAAAGTCCGGTTTTACTACACACTAAGACAATTCTACGGAGAAAACGTTACACTTTCAAGAACAAGAAACCCAGTTCTTCTTTTACCATCTTAATAATAACCTTATTTTCAGGTAATTTCAAATAACTAAATTTTTTTTTACTGTATTTTATACATAAATTTTGTTTTATCATTAAATAAATGAAAAAAAAAAAAAAAAAGAAATATAAAGAAATAGTCTAAGAGGCAGCTGCTAATGAGTGTAGTCCATAGCCGGCTACTATATGGTGCCGAAGTATGGTCAGAGCGCGTTCTCGAAACGCAGAGGACCAAGAATGTGCTTCTACAGGCACAGAGGTGTGCGGCGTTAAGAGTGGCCAGGTGTTACCGCACTGTTTCTGGTATGGCCTCGCTCGTACTAGCCAGGATGCCCCCGGTTTTTCTGCAAGCAATTGGAAGGAAGAGGACGGCGGAGGTTAGGAAGTCAGGAGCTATGCTCAGTAAGAACGATGTCATAACCGACACAATCCGACACTGGCAGACCCTCTGGGAGTCCACCCAAGACAAGGCGGCATGGACAAAAAGGTTGATTCCTGATCTGTCCAGATGGTGGCACTATGGCCCGAGGCAGATTACGTTCCACATGGCCCAGGCTCTTTCTGGTCATGGGTGCTTCCAGCATTACCTCTGGACAAGGGAAGAGCGCGCAGCCCAGCCTTTCTACTGTGCCCCGCAGACAATGATGACGCTGAACACACACTGTTCGTCTGCATGTTTTGGAGCGGTGAGAGGAAAGCATTTGAGCAGTCATTGGGCAGACCTGCTCGTCCTGAGGATGTTGTGGGTGTCCTTTGCAGATTAGCACTTACGGAGCTACCGGAGGACCAGCCAACAAGGAGGAGACTAGTGTCGGCAGTCAACCGGAGGAGGGAGCTGTTTACACAAATGGTGGAGGAGATAATGGGCCGCAAGGAGGAACTAGAAAGGGAGCGGCAGCGTGCCGGCGATGAAGGTGCTCAAAGGCTCAACATAACTAATTAGTTAAGCATTGTTCTATTGTGGGCTGAACGGCCGCTTCAGGGTGGTTAGAGGCCCCCAGTTATTGAAACATATATACTTACCTGTTAATCATTGGTATTGTATTGTAGTTGTGTATTTAATTTATAATAAATGATGCGTCCAGGGAGGCAGTAATGGGGAAACCTAGTTCCCACCCTGGTTCGCGGTTCAAACATTAAAAAAAAAAAAAAAAGGCCGGTTTCTTTTCCTTGTCACCACTCCTATTTTATTTTATTTGTATTATAAATGTATTGTAATTATTTTACTATTACTATTTTGTTTTCAATGTAAATTTTAATGTATGTTTAAGTGTTTTCATAATTGAATTGGGGCAACCCGTATATATATATGTATAAATTAATATAAATATCTAATTATTATTCTCATTTGTATATTAAAAATGTCTTTGTTGTGTTATTTGAATATGAATTGTAGAAATGTTTATGGTATTATAAGTATTTAATTAAATAAAAAATCACAAAAAAAGATGTCTATTTATTAACAAATTCAAAAATTATAAATATTATTTGTGTAAATACAATAAATATGCATCAGTATTTCATTTTGTTCTATTAGGTTTTTAAGAACATGTCAGACATAAATGAATTCAAATGCATAGTGTGCAAAAAAGTTTAAATTTTTAAAAAACCTAAGAGTCCATATAAAAGTAAATCACCCTCTTTTAGAGTTGGATGAAATAGCACCAACAAAAAAACAGAAAAATTGTGATTTATAAATATATACTTGTGACCAATGTACTAAGTCATATTGTCATCAAACAAATTTGACTGAACACAAAAAAGTTGCTCATCCAATTTTTCCAGCAATTGAAATCGTAATCCAGTGTGCCATGTGTTCATTTACTGCCACATACAAAAATATGAATATACACTATGAAAAAGATCATAATATTTTACAAAATGTAGATAGTTTTGAATTTGAAAGCATTGATGATTTTAACAATTGGAGACGTGAAATTGAAATACCAACTCAGTCATTGTATGTTAAAAACTACGGTTCCTCTGTTAAAGGAAATCAAATTTACAGTTATTACAAATGCCACAGAAGTGGCTTCTATAATTCACTTAGTATAGGTCAACGGCATTTAAAAACACAGGGTTCTAACAAAATAAATGGGTACTGTCCAGCTAGTATTAATGTTATAGAGTCAAATGTTACAAAAAAATGTACCGCTAAATTTAATGGCAATCATATAGGTCATGAAAATGAAATAGGGCACTTACCTTTAAATAAATGTATCAGAGATGATATAGCATCTAAAATATCACAAAACATTCCGTTTGAAAAAAATTTGGACGAAATTCGTGATAATATTGCCAACAATCATTTAGAAAGAACTCATTTACTTACTAAGAAAGATTTGTATAATATTGAAGCTTCATACAATCTTAACAATGAGGCAGTATATCATTCTAATGATGCTACAAGTGTTGGAGCATGGGTGGAAAAACTAAAAACTGATGACAAATTAAGCCTCGTTTATTACAAGTCACAAGGTCAAATCGACACTAATCATATCCAACTTAAAGAAGATGACTTTTAATTGCTCATAATGAACGACCATCAAAAATCCATGTTAAGCAAATTTGGAAAAGATGATATTTGTATTGATGAAACGCATGGGATGAATTCTTATCATTTTAATTTGACAACAATCATGGTTCTTGATGATTTAAGAGAAGGATTCCCATGCTGTTTTATGATAAGTAATAGAGTTGATGAAGTGGTCTTAATAATATTTTTTTCTAAGATAAGGGACAAAACTGGTATTATTCAGCCCAATGTCTTCATGTCAGATATGGCTGAAAGTGTTTATAACGCTTGGGTTGTTCAAATGGAACCACCGAAACATAGGCTCTATTGTACTTGGCATGTAGATCGTGCCTGGAGAAAAAATTTAAATAAAATTAAAAACAAGACAAAACAGGTAGAAATATATAAAGTATTACGAACATTACTTGTAGAACAAGATGCTGAGGCCTTTAGTAGAATGTTCGACAATGCTATAAATCGAATGGCAAAAGATGACGAAACTATTAATTTCTCAAACTATTTTACTAGTTATTATGCTTCATCTGTGCAGTCATGGGCTTATTGCTACAGAATACATGCTGGAATTAACACAAATATGCTTATTGAAAGAATGCATCGGACTCTAAAGCATATTTACTTACAAGGCAAAAAGGTGAAGCGTCTTGATAAATCTCTGCATGCCTTAATGAAATATACTAGAGACAAATCTATTGATAGGCTTATTGTGTTACATAAAGGTAAAATATGCTCAAAAGTAAAGGAGTTGCGCAAAAGGCATAAGACAAGTCTTTTAATGTCTCTAGAAATGGTGCTTGAAAATGTTGATCACAATAATTGGAATGTGTTATCAGGAAAAACTAGTGAAATGTATGAGGTGAACAATCTCAAATCCAACTGTGACTGCAAAATAAATTGTTCTGATTGTCAGTCATGCATACATTGCTACTCATGTTCCTGCATAGATAGTGCAATAAAACGGAACATGTGTAAACACATACATTTAGTCTGTCAATTCCTGAAAAGAAAGAATAATGAAAATATAATTACTAATAACACACTCACAAATTTGGAACGTACCAATGAAACAACTATCATTGTGTCACAGTTAAATAATTCAACCAAACCATCAAACGATCTTGCTAATGAAAAAGATAAAGTAAGATTATATTTTAATAATATTTTAGATGGGATTTCTAGTTCAGAAGAACTGGGCATTTTAAAAAAATGTCTTTCTTCGGTTACACGTACTTTAAATGCGTTAAGAAGTAATGCTAATAGTCAACCATTTAAGAGTTTGACACCGTCTCATTGCCAAACATCACCAAACAAATTAAAAATAACTCCTCAACGCCGTTTTCATTCCACTAAATCTAAAAGAAATGTAGAAAAAACCACATTGAACATTGAGGTACCAAACCAAGTAGAGCAAAATTTTATAGCTGCATCTCTATTATTGGATGTGGACCAAAATGAAGACCTACCTCAATATAATTAAACACCAACTGATTTTATAACAAAATTATTATTTTTATTTTATTATTACTTATTTCACAATTATTATTTTATGCATTTTATTAACTTATTAATTATAATCATATTGACTATTGTACTGCCATTTCACATTATTTTTTTATAATTATATCTTATTTTACAACAAATTATTATTAACTAGGTAACTATTATGAATTTTATTAACTAATATATTATTGTTACTATAAATTTTAATCATGTTGACTATTGTACTCGCGTCTCACAACATTATTTATTTATAAATATATCTTATTTTACAAAAAAATATTATTAACTAGGTAGGTAACTATTATGAATTTTATTAACTAATATATTATTGTTACTATAAATTTTAATCATATTGAATATTGTACTCACAAAATTATACTTTTTTATTATACTATATTATGAGGTCAGACAAGGAGCAGAGACACCGTATAAAGTAGGGCCAACATACAACAATTATAACTTATTTGAAAACTAATTATTACTTATTATTTACTAATTATAGCTATTATGAATTATATGAATTTACATATTACCTACCATTTATATATCCATTTCAATATTTGATATTTCATTGTGCATTATAAAATTTACTATTTAGAATATCAATGAGTGTATACTACTATTCTATATTTCTATTTTCTTAACCTAAGATTTATTATCAAATAATCAATGTTAATTAATAATTAACTGAAATATCATCATTTTCAAAGACAATTCAGTTAGAATACAACTTGGGTAGAAATAAGGTAAAGGAAAGAAATATATTATTTTGAGAATTAAGTGATAATAAAATCTGTGATAACTGATAATGATAACGAAGTTGGCCATCTTGCAGCCATTCGGATTCCCTGTCACTAGACGCTTGTGTATATAAATCCGTGATTCACACGCATTACAATTAATGCCCATTTTAACCATCTGCTTAATGTGCCAAACCGATTCACTTCTTTGTCGCCAATATGTCGCAGACATTTACTTAATGATATTAAAATGCCTATTAGCATTAAAACCGATATACTTATAGAAAATTGTATAGACGAGATTAGCATTGTCTTAATAGCCGCTGACACTAGTGCTACAAATGTTAGTATGTTACTCACTTTATATTGCCGAGCAAAATAGCTGAACAGTCATTCTGTTGCAAGTTGTTTTCAGTATTTTTAAAACAGTTTATTTAGAAGTATTTATTTTTTTTGAAGTGTTTAAAAATAATTTTAAACATGGCTGATTCTATCACCAACAACCGCTGCCCTATACAAAAAGAAGACGTTCACTTATGTGCCTCCAGCACCACCCGCGGATCTCATCGACTGCAGTAATTTTATACTTGACTTAACCGGCCGTCAGTTTTTGAATGTAGGACTTGATCCTGCTGACGAATTCAACACCGTAGTGCAAATAATCACACCATCGCGGTATATTAATATGCCAGCCGACTTCCTAAGACTTATATTTTCCCTGATGGGAAATATATTGTCGTTTATTTCGGATCAACCGCAAAAATATAAACGAAATTTATTTCTGGAAACCAAAATTATTTCGCTGTCTAGTATGGTGTATCAAGGGGAAAATATGCTTGTCATCGAATCAAAAACACAAGCCGGATGTCGAATATTGCTAAATAGGGCAGATTTAATGAAATTGCAATATTTAGAATGGTGTATTGTCGAAACAGTCGTTCGAAAGTCAACCATCATACGACCACTTGTCTTAAACAGTTTGAGATTATGTGTAATTATTTGGACCAGGAATTTACCAAAGTTGATTCACCGCCAAAAACACCCGAAGAAATTATCGTTTTTATCAAAAATTTAAGTGATGATAAAATTATTGGATCCACTCCTAAAGAAGACATGAATTTTATCAGTCAGCTCAAAATACTTTCAACTACTCAATTAGCTGAACAATGGGCACAACGATGGAGCGGGGAAATGTCACCCGAGGTAATTTAACCTATCCTTTATATCGCTTGTAAAACAAAATATTTATTGTATTTTATTATTTTATAGTTTTTCACTGAATCCGAGGTTAGACTCCTTTCACCCCCGAGATATTCAAGTATGTCTACAATGCACAAGACCTTCACAAGCAAGGTAAATTATAATTTATAAATTAAAAAATAATACAATTAATAATTATAATAATTATTTAGGCAGCTGACGAGGAACGTGGATCGATGAAATATATAATAATATATAATATAAAAATATATAATAATCAATGCTACACAGGCGACATGGGCACCAATTCGGAAAAAAAATCATTTGTAATACTCACATTTAATTTTTTAAATAAATATATATATTAATACATTATTATTTGTATAGCCATTTGATGATATAGGTACCTACTCAATAGAGAATCATTTTGCATTAATACTTGGGATATTTGTAACTTGGCTCTGGAAAATATTCAGTTCGACACGCTACTAATCTTACTTGTTTCTCAACAGTTTCTTTATGATTGTAATAATGTGTATTGTAGTAAAACCCAAGTCAATGGTAGCGGCAGCAGCAGGGGCCTCGGTAGGGAGAGCGCACACCAAAGCAGTGCGGTTGCAGTGCGGCGGCGGCAGTGAAAAACACTGCGTGTCTGCGTCCGCACCGCAAAAGCTCGCCAAAGCACACCAATGCAGTGCGGCGGCGGAGCGATCTGTTTTATTTTTATTTTTAACTATTTTTACTATTTTGATTAATAGTGTTCAGTGTTTTTGATTAGAAATAATATTTTCTATATTTCTATTATAAAAATGGCTCTTTAAAAAGTCTATATCATGATCTTGTAATTCTTCTGATTTTTTTTTGGGATCTTTTTTCTTTAAAATACCCACCTACAGTAAGTTCATCTAATGAAGAGCATTGTTGTTTTTTTATGAACTATCTATGCCACTTTTTTTGTTGATACATTTATTGATACTATGTGTATCTGTCATAGATCTTTCTTCATGTTCATAACCATATTCTATTTTATCTACTTCTAAATAGTCAATACTATTTTCACTTACTGTGAGACCTGTAAGGTTGACAGTTTGAGGTCGGGATGTGGTGTAAGGATCAATAAAATGTAAATAATCAGTAAGTTAATACACTTTCTTTCGTTTGGTCCCTGATCCACTTGGCGGCACATTTTTAAGTTGGAGTAAACATAGTCCACGGATATTTCGCCACTTTTCTTTACACTCAGCCACTACAAAAATTAATAAGAATAATTATAATATTTTTGACACTTTAAAACTTTACTACTCTTTAGATACCTTGTAATGGGAGGTAACGTTAAAGCACACTCTGTTTTGAGAGGAGAGTCTACTACAAGGAATATAATTGCAGGAACAACTATAGCAATTTGGGAATACCTAAAAGAAAAATATATGCCACCACCAACAAAACAAAAATGGGAAAACGTTATTTGGATTTATGGAATATACCCAATTGCCTAGGTAAATTGTATACTAAAATGTCTACCTAAATTAAATTTAGATAATTTGAAGAAAATGATTAATGTTATTTTGAAGGTGCTATAGATGGCAAAAATTTTAAAATTAAATACCCTCCAAAAACGGGATCAGCTTTTTTCAACTACAAGTAATATTTTAGTATTGTTTTAATGGCATGTGTAGATGCTGATGGACTTTTTTTGACCATTGATGTTGGTGATTATGGTAGGAATATTGATGGTAGGGTGTTTAGAAGAAGTTCGTTTGGCAAAGCCATTGAAAATGATTTGCTGGATGCCCCTGACCCAAAGCCTTTACCTGGCTGGGACCCCAAGGGCCCTTTCCCATATTTTTTTATAGCAGATCAAGCCTTCCCATTGAAAAAGAAACCTAATGAGACGTTTTCCCAAAAGATCATTAAATAAAACCAGAAGGATTTTCAACTACTACCTCTAGCTTGTAAGATAAAAACATATGATTCTGTTATTAAAGCAGCATGTGTTCTGCATAATTTTATACATATGCGAGGAGGTACATTTTCTACAACATCAAATCCTCAATCAATTTATTCAATGGGAGTACAAAATAATCAAGAACTACCACTTATTCAAGTAGCCAGACCCACAAGAGTTGCAGAAAATAACAGAGAGTTATTGTGTAATTATTTTATATCAAATGAAAGTCAGGTACCTTGGCAAGGAAATTTTTCTTAATGCACATTTGATATAGGAAAATAATAAATAACTTTTAAATGTAAATTAAACAGTTTAAAATAAATATTATGGTCTATGAGATATCTTATTGATTTTTTACTGAACTCAAACTAGCTTCAAGATTATTGTATGTAAAATAATTATCATAGGTTCATCATATAAAACATTAGTATTTGTTTAATACATTTTTATAAAGTCTATAACCTATGTAACTAAGAAGTAACATTTATTGCCATTAGTCATTAATATTAGTCAAAATATTTAAAAGAATGAAAATAAATAAAGTGAACAATCACATTTACTTGCCTCCTTGACAATATTATTAAAAATTAGAGGGCAGTGTTGGGCAAAAAAATTACTTACAAACTTTAATTATCAATTTATCATAAAAAAAGGTGGGCAAGTGGGTGTCGCTCTGCTGTACAGTAGGTTACTTAAATTTGAATTCAACGATATAATATCATTGTATAAGAAAAACGATTCTGAGCAGAGACGGTATGTCAGTCTAGGTATAAGACATATTATATACATATCTATGGTACTAAACCAAAATTTGACCTATAATAAATTCCAAATTAATCATATCAAAATATCCATTAGGTACTTACAACGCGGTTATACATCAACAAAAACCGTGATACTATCATATATTATAGATATATAATAGTACACTTTAGAAGTTTCAAGTACCAACGAATAATATTATTCAATCACAACAAAATAACTAAAATAGTTATTCTAGGTTTTTTAATGTAATTTCGTCCAAATTCGAATTTAAAATGTCTGTAAATAACTGTGTTCATATATTTTTTAGATTTTTTGGTTACAGTA